TGCAGACGGAGGGGAACGCTCTCCTCAAAGCTGTGTTCCAGGGAAAGCTGCGCCTCGCCCGGCTGCTGCTGGAGGGCGGAGCCTACATCAACGAAGGCAACGAACGGGGAGAGACACCCATCTCCGCCGCCTGCCTGGGGAGCTATGACGACCCACAGACCCGCCAGAGGATGGTCCGCTACCTACTGGAGAAAGGCGCTGACCCCAACATCCCAGACAAGAGCGGCCGCACGGCGCTGATGCATGCCTGCGCCGAGCGAGCAGGGCGAGAGGTGGTGACCCTACTGCTGGAGAACGGGGCAGATCCCAGCCTCAGAGACTACGCCGGTGCCTCTGCTCTGGTCCACGCCATCAACAGGGGAGACCGCGACACGCTGCAGGTGCTGCTGGACGCCTGCAAGGCCAGGGGCAAGGAGGTGATCATTATCACTACTGACACATCTCCATCAGGCACCAAGAAGACCAAGCAGTACCTGAACTCGCCACCCTCTCCCGGCATCGTGGACAAACTGTCCCCTGCTTGCATGTCTCCTTCAGAAGTGGAGATCGCCACTGCGTCACCTGCAGGGTACAGGAGCAATGGCGAGGAGGGCATCTTCAGCTTCGCGCTCACCTCAGCCTTACCTCTGCCTTCGGCTCGGCCTCCAGGTGAGAAGCGGCCCCCGCCTCGGAAGCTCTTGAAGAGGCTGAACTCGGAGCCCTGGGGCCTGGTGGCACCCTCGGTGGTGAGCGGAGTTCCTCCTGACCGGCTGGACCCGGGTCTAGAGGAAGAGGCCAGCAGCGATCTGAGCAGAGCCACCGCCGGGATGAACGGTCTATCCATCTCGGAGCCGGTCCGGACTCGGTTGTCACGCCGACACAGCATCGAGACGCACGACCCCTGTTCTCCCAAACCCATCGACCGGTCCTGCTCCGAAGACTGCACCGGCCTTTCTGCCACGTCCTGGGCTGACAAGGTGCAGCAGCACCAGATCCTGTACCGGAGAAACACGGCCCCTGAGCCCCAGGAGAATGCCGGGGGGCCTGGGGGGCCTGGGGCTATCCGGCTCCTGGTGCACCCTAAACTGAGCCGCATGGAGCACTACGAATCTGACACTCATCTTTGTCCAGAGTCCATCCCTGGCTCACCGGACTCTGGGCGGGTGTCAGTGGAACGGCGACGGTATAACGCCTCCCCGTTATCCCTGGTGACCAGCTCATCCAGGGAGTCTCTGGAGAACATCCCCAACTCGGTGTCGCCCATCACCATGCGCCGTCGGCCCCCGGGTCTGCTGGAGCGCCGCGGGTCCGGTACGCTGCTGCTGGACCACATCTCCCACACCAGGCCCGGCTTCCTGCCTCCTCTCAACATCAACCCCCACAGACCCATTCCCGACATTCGAGCCAATGGAAAACCCACCTCCCCCATTCACAGCGGACACAAGGTCCTGGTTCCCATGGCCCCGATATCTCCCAAGCGGGGCCCCGAATTCAAGATGAAGAAGAAGCTGATGAGGAGGCACTCCATGCAGACAGAGCAGATGAAGCAGCTCTCCACCTTCCAGGAGATCCTGGCTGAGAAGGTGGTTGAGTCCAATGGGGACTGATGATAGCAGGCAACAAAGCATGATGGGTACCTGCTGAGTCCGAGCTAACACCAGGTCCTGTTGACTGAGGTGAGCTTTGTTTGACACCACCTGACTGGATCAGTTCTGTTCACTGAGGTTTGGGTCGAAGGGATGGTTCTGATCCAATGGGATGTTCCCTGCAGCTGTCAGAGTGGTACTTTTGGGGAATCAGAACTTTTCCCCATCTAAAACTTCAACTTGGAGGTACGTTTGATTCAGAGATGGTCCCGTAAGACGACATTTTGGTGCTGGACACTTGACAACCAGGCGGGTCACAGGGAAGAGGAGGACTAGAACCTTTCAGACCAAACCCTCCAAGATCCGGCCAGTGGTCAACTCTGGGTTCTGGTGGTATCATCGTCTCCAAGAGTTAAGGGTGGTCCTCGAAAGACACACCATCCAAGGTATGGAGAAATGAATGAACCTCCTCACATCACTGTGTTCTGGATCAGAACCGGTCCTGTAATGTAACTGGGTCGATTTCTCTGACGTGGATGATCTTCAGGACCTCTCCAGCTAGGATCAGAGGCCGCATGAGTGCAGGGAAGGTGCTGAGCTGTTCAGAACCAGAACTCTGGTGCAGGTTTCCTGCAGAGCTCAGCAAGAACCTGAGGAAAGGCTGATGCAGGTGAGGTGAACCTTAACCCCTGAGGACCAGAGGCACTTCTGGGCCAGAACCAAACTCTACAAGAACTTTTTTAACAACCTCAAACCATGACAGAGTAACTAAACCCCAAAATCGACTTGATTTTGCTGGTAAACTATAACCGGTTCTTCAGGGTTCTGTCTTTATTTTTTTGTGCGTTTTCATGCAAATTTGTTTAATTCTGCGTTTTTTTGTTTTTGTCTAAAACCCTCATTAGGTTGAAGCTGCTGCAGTGGGTTTGTCCTGTTGGTTCCCCTCCCTCGTCCCCAGACTTGGCTCCGCCCACATTGGTGTTATTTTCATGAATTTGTCAGAGGGTGCAACTGTCTGTTAGACTTTAAATCAGCCTGAAGGTGGCGCTTTTGTCCTGTTGCGCTTCACAAACTGATTTCAACGGTTTGCTGATGTTCAAAGATTGGCCCCTGCTGGTCACAGCAGCGTCACCTACAGGTTCACAGATCTCAAGTCAGTTTTCGTCTGCAGCTTGGGTTAGGGTTAGGCTGAAACTAAATCTGACACTTATTTCAATGATTGAACTGAAAAATGTACCTGTTATTTTACAGACTTCTTCCAGATTGAATAAGTCTGGAGTGTTTCAGTTCATGTAGATCAGGGGTCAAACTCCAGCCCTGGGGGGTCGCTGGCTGCCCTGCAACCTTTAGCTGAGCCTCTGCTGCACCTGAATAGAAAAATGAGGTCATGAAGGTCAGATCCAAACAAGAGGAGATGAAGCCGTTTTTCCAGTGTTTTGTATCTGAGGCTCATCTAAAACATGGAGGACTGGAGTTCGACTCCTGTGACGTCGACGTTCTGGTTTCGCTGAAACCTGAGAAAATCAGATCAGACCAATAAATAAAGTACTTTGATCCAAAGCTTTTCTGTAATGGATGGAAAACTGAGTGGAAGGGAAAAGTGTGAGGACCAAATGGAACGAGGTTTTAGAGATGTTTTCTGATTGGCTGTCCCAGCAGGACTTGGTACCAGTTCTGATTCTCCTGCAGCTCATGTTGCTGAAGGAACACAACAAGACGCGCCGCGGTTCTGATGGACAGAGACCCGGTTCTTTCGGATCAACAGTTAGAAAATAAAACTTTCATCCAAGGAAACGCTGATTTCTGGGTCGGGTCAGAAACCAACAGAATAATTTCAGAACATCACGTCCAACGACCCAAACCCAACCACCAGGTCAGAAACTTGCTGAGACACAAACTGCGAAACATCAAGACGTTTATTGAAGATTAAAATGTTCCTTTAGACAGGAAGTGACACATGGCTACAGATCACCACTCAATAACGTAAGTGACCAATGAAATCTGTCCAACTGAACTAAGCTCCGCCCACAGACGATTTTGCAGGAAGTGCATCAGATTTTCAAAATAAAGCTTCAGTTTGCATCCGTTGTTAGCGTCTTGTAGCTTACACAGATAGGCGAGTAAGAGGAGAGGGCTCACTCTGATCAAGTCCTCAGATGCACCAGTGGAAACTTTAAAGTGCAAAGATCAGTGAAAGCAGGATGTATTACTATGGACCAAAATAATATAGTGTGATCTAGAACAAAGATATGTGTTTGGGCAGATGACTCACTCTGCTTAAAGTTGACTAATTCGGAGTGTTTAAAAAAACGCTGAAACAGACAGTAGTAGTAGAACAGAGGTCTCACTCTGATGTACCTTGAGGTCCATAAGAGTTTTATACAGAGATAGTGTAGAACAGAGGTCTCACTCTGATGTACCTTGAGGTCCATAAGAGTTTTATAGAGATAGTGTAGAACAGAGGTCTCACTCTGATGTACCTTGAGGTCCATAAGAGTTTTATACAGAGATAGTGTAGAACAGAGGTCTCACTCTGATCAAACAGTGACAAATAGAGATAGGAGTAAAACAGAAGCCTCACTCTGATACATACTGAGGCACATTTTAAACAACAGATAGTAGTGGAGAACAGATGTCTCACTCCAGACAAAATGGCAACAGGTTTTCATTTAGTCAAGCAGTGAGACACCAGACAAAGATAGGAGTGAGAAGAGAGAGCGTTTGTTGGTTTATTTTTTGAAGAACTTCTTGTTGAGCAGGAAGATGAGCAGATTGACGTTGACTTTGGCTTTATCGAACATCTTCATCACCGCCGCCACGCCCTGCTGCAGCTGCAGCAGATCCTGGGCACAAAACACAGCAGCTGGAGCGTGGTGGAACCAGAACCAGAACCAGGACCAGGCAGAACCTGCACTGGGTCACTGTCACTCCACAAGAATCCCACAAAAAAAGTTAATATTTCAGAAACTTCTGTTCAGGTTTTCTCTGCCCATTAATTAATATAGTTGCTGAAACTCGTTAATCTTTGGATCTAAAGATGTTGAGAGCAAACATTGCCATTTTGTTCAGTCTGAGATGTTTTCCTAATGTCAGGCAGACCTGGTCTGTGTTCTGGTTCTGACCCGGTTCTGGTGGTACCTGGTATCGGAGCAGGAAGTCCTCCATCTGGACGCCCAGGAAGCGGGCGCTGACGCTGAAGCTTCCCGTCTCTGGACCGGGTGTGATGTCGAAGACGACGTTCCTGAACCTGGAAGAGGTCATAAGGTCAGCATGGTGGTGACGTCATCGTGATGTCACGCTCTGTGGTCCCGCCTCACTGTGTGGCTGGAAGGTCCTCGATCTCCAGCAGCACTCCCTTCTCCTGCAGCCGGGCGGCGCTGTAGCTCACAGCAGGAAGCTTCTTCTTCCCTCTGCTCTCTGCTGCGTTCCTATTGGTCCCTTTGCTGCAACAGAACAACCGATGACGGCGCCGTCGGGGCCTGAGAACCGATCGGGTCTCTGGAAGTGCGGCGTGTCGTCTCACCTGCCGGTGGTCAGGTAGTCCAGACAGGAAGTGATGTAATGCCTGTAGAAGTCGACCTGCTGGCAGTGGAAGCTGCTCTTCTCCTGCAGGCGGCTCAGAGTCTGCTGCAGCTTGTGAAGCTCCGCCCCCCGCCGCTGGCGACGCACACGCTGCTGCCGGATGTCCTGGAAGGACAAACCGGGTTCATTCAGGGCAGAAACCGGATCGGGACGGTTCCGGTCAGGCCGCTACCTTGGCAACCATCTGCAGGAGCTGCTCTTCGGCCCGCGGCGGCCGCAGAACGCCGAGCGTCTCCAGGCGGCGGAGGCTGCGTACGATCTTCCTCTTCTTCTCCTCCAGGCTCAGGTTGCTGTTTGCAACCAGAGACGGATTCCTCTTCATCTTCTCTGGCGTCTGAGCGTCCCGCCGCACCCGCCGCTGCACCAGCCAATCGTGACACACTTCCTGTTTGGAAACAGAACCCGGTCGCGTCAGGCGAGCGAGCGTCGCCCCAGGCGAGCGAGCGTCGCCCGGTCGTGTCGAGGGTCACCTGGTCAGGCGAGGTCTTTGTTTTCAAGATGTCCCTCAGAGAGTCGCCTGGCTGAGTCCTGATGACGTCGATGATCAGCTGCTTGGTGCTGAAGTCAGAACCACAAGTGAGCACAACCAAACAATGCGCTGACCTACCTGGACAGGTGAGCAGAGCTACCTGAGCAGCAGTCCTCGGACGTCCGGTTGTTCAGAAGAGTCGTCAAAAACATCAAATTTGTTAGTGAGCGTCAGAGAAACTTCCATCTTACTGAACTCTGACCCTGGATCAGCTGACGCCTCACCTGAGGATCAAAAACCCCAAAAACTCGTCACACCAGGCGCCAACATCCAAACCCAGCAGGACCAGTTTACACCTGTACAGTACTGAGCTGCTGCCTGACCCGACCCAGACCCAACGGTACCGTTGAGCTCCTGCAGCGAGGGAACCGGTCCGAGGTCGTTCAGGATCAGCCTCAGTGGGTCCGACGGGTCGGGACACAGAACCTCCTGGTGCTCCAGCAGTAGCTGCAGAGACGAAGGCAGCAGGTCCAGAAGTTTAATGTCTTTAAGCGACGGTACGTATGAATCCTCGGGAGCCATTTTATTTTTAAAGTTGATTTAAAAGAAATTCAACGTCTTTGTTTCATGTCTTGAAATTGGGCCTGTCTCTTTAAGAAGCTGCTCCTCCTTCTGATGCTTCACCTTCAGGAAGTCATCACAACAACGTTTCTCCATGATGCCGTTTGCAACTGGACTGACTGGAAACTGCAGCTCAGCCTCGCCGAGTCCGGCCTGCTGCAGGCGAGTTAGTGAGCGTCAGAGAACTTTGTCTCAGAGGCGGAGCCAAGTCTAGGTGTGTCCACATGTTGCCGCGGCGACCCAAATGGTTGCCGCGGCGACCCAAATGGTTGCCGCGGCGACCCAAATGGTTGCCGCGGCGACCCAAATGGTTGCCGCGGCGACCCAAATGGTTCCTTAACATGAATGAAAAAACAAAACAATCCCCGTCTGTAACATGATGTCGAAAACTTGATTTTACGTGACACTGTTCCTTTAAGAAAGGCAACAGCAGCAACGTGTTGCTGCAACGTTGCAGCAACAACACATTGCTGCAATGAAACTTTATCGTCACGTTGAGATGGAACCAACGTGACGATTTTTCTCGTTCACAAAGACAAACGGCTCACATACGACGTCAAACGCAGAAAAACTGGCAACACTGACGCCTCCCCGGAACCACAGGGACCTTCTGGGCCCAAAGAGTCTCGGTTCTGCTGCGGCTCACCTTGTGAGTGTTGAGCAACTCGCTGACGGAGATGTAGACGACGGGTCTGTTGACGGTCAGCTGCTCAGAGAACTCGTCCATGCCGAACCGCTCCTCTGGTTCGGGAACGTCACAGACGCCGTGCAGGAACTTCCTGTCCAACAGAACATAAGCGGCCATCAGCAACGCCTCCCCTGACCTTTGACCCACGGCTGCTGGCGTCTGTACCTGAACCTGCCGTGGGTCCGGGTGATGTACTGGTTCAGGGCGTGAACGTGGTAGCCGTCTCCGTGGAAGTGCTTGTTGGCGGCGGCGTGCTGCAGCATGCGGGCTATGGATCCCAGGATGCGGCGCTGCTCCGGCTGCAGGGCGGATCCGGCCGACCGGTCCACCACGTCGAAGCCGTCCGGAGCCACGATGGCCGGATTCATGTAGCGATAGTACACCAGGTTTCCCACAATCTGCAGGGAGCGTCCCGGTTAGAGGACAGAGCCGGACTAGAAATTCATCCTGAGGACGTTTGTTCAATCCAGACCAACCTGAGATGAACATCCAGATTTTGTTCTGAAGGTTTGATTATTTAGTTCTGAAACGGTTCAAATCTAAAGAGGCGCAGTCACCATCCAGTCAAACTGGGAGCCACTGGGAGTATTCCAGTAAGACTCACCTTGTAGAGCTCGTCCTCACTGGCTGCAGGAAACTTTGCCTTCAAGGCGTCTCGGAGAACCTTGGCTGTGTAACGAAGGCCGTACCTGCCATCCACAGAGACCAGCCGTCATTCAAACTGCCCACCAATCAATCAGCAGAAATAAGTCAGGAGGTCAGGCGCCAACGGGAGAGAGCAGGAAGTCGGGGACCTACGGGAGTTTGTTGAGACTGGAGGTGATGGCTTTGAGGACGCGGTCCGTCAGGTTCTTCAGGTTGATGATGGCGATGTCAATTCTTCGCTGGACTTCCGGGTGGGTCAGGGCGTCCTCCGCAGAAACCTCATAGGGTAGAGAGCTGATGGGACAGAGCCAGAAAGGTCAGCCCTACTGTGACCTAATGACCTTGTCCTCCTCGGTGTCTCACCTCTTGTGTCCGGTCTGGGTCTCGGTCTGGTTGATCCAGGTCTTGTAGACCTCCAGCGGGTCGGTTCTGATGCTGAGGGTTTGGTCCAACAGGACGTCCTGCAGCGCCGGACCCAGGGAGTCTCGCAGGGCGTTCTGACCGCGCGCCTGCCGGTAAAAGTTCACCAGCATCTTGATGACGGTGGGATTCCCGGTAATCACTTCCTGCGGCTGCTCCACCTTCAGTCTGACGACACACAGGTGTGTTCAGGTGCAGAGTGACGTCACAGCCTTAAGACGGCTGCTCGATGACATCATAGAAAGTTACCTGATCTCGTATCGAAGCGCTTCGGTAAAGAGCTGCAGCAGCAGGAAGGCGTCTCTGCGGTCGGAGCCGTAGTTGAACAGGCTGAAGACCAGCATCTCCACGAAGCAGGTGGAGCGGCTCTGCGGCATCAGGAAGATCACATGGGCCAGGTAGAGGGGCTGCGTCTGGAGCAGAGCAACCCGCTGTCAGACCTGCAGCAGGCCGGACTCGCCTGCGGCAGGCCGGACTCGCCTGCGGCAGGCCGGACTCGCCTGCGGCAGGCCGGACTCGCCTGCGGCAGGCCGGACTCGCCTGCGGCAGGCCGGACTCGCCTGCGGCAGGCCGGACTCACCTGCAGCAGGTAGAACAGGTGCTGGTAGGCCTCCAGTTTCTCCCTGCGGTTGCGGCTCAGAGCCTTCAGCCCTTTGCTTCTCTCCATGTCCATCAGGTCCGACAGATGCTCCTTGTTCTTCCGGGTCAGCTTCTTGCAGTGGGACACCACTTCCTGTTGGAGGCACAAGTCATGACCAGCAAAGCGGAACGGAACCAGCAAAGCGGGACAGAACCTGGAATAGCTCTCACCTGCAGCGTGGCCCGGTTCCGGACCAGCAGGCCGATCTTCAGGTCCATCAGGTCGAGGTCGGACTCCAGCCGCCGGTTAGCGCGGATGTTCCGCACCACTTCCTGCCTCAGCCGCAGAAGCTCCGCCTCCTCTCTGATGTCACAGTCTCCAAGGTCGAGCAGGTGCAGGAACCTCCTGATCACAGACAGGGGGGCGTGTCCGAATGCACTGGGGAGGGGGCGGAGCTAGTTAGTGATGACCGGTGGCTCGGCCAATCAGGCACTGAGAACTCACCACGCAGTAAGGTTGCACCAACTAGTCGGTTCTTTACTCTGCAATGACTTTTACTGAGCCAGTCGACTAGTCACAAACACGTGACAAAAATAATAAGCTTGAATTGTATAAAAATGTAAATAATTTACCAAAGAGAAACATAAAATCCCAGCAAAGGCTACTGGAATAGGGGTGTTGCTTAGTGTAGGCTAGCGCAGCTAGCGCGGCGCCCTGCACAGAAAGACCGCAGACCCGGTATCTGCAGACCCGGTATCCGCAGACCCGGTTTGCTGGGGACTGTCAGATTCCTGTCAAATAAAGGCAACTAGTGCCAAAAGAGTGTTACTAAAAGACGACCGGAGCACAGTGTGACAATGCGTCAGGATGTCGGGCGTCTTCATGCCTCCAGCTGATCGGCGTCACTCTGCATGTTGAAGCTTCTAACCTGGCAGCTCTGCGTTTTTATAAAAATTCTGTTTGACAACATCTGGAAACAAAGTTAAAGCTTCACTCTGATGGAGACCATTTCTGGATCCAACAGTAGCCAAACGGGATCCGGCCAGCATTGGTTTGGTTTGACATGTTCCACTGAGGTCAGTGCAGCAATCCAGAGATCATCAGTATCAGCCGGTGTTTGGGGGAAAAAAAAGTCCGACCCGGCATTTCTCTGCTGCTCACAAAAAAGTTTGTGATAATGTTCTGTTTCTTGTTCTTTCAATTCTTACTAAAGAAGACTTAATAAAAGCAGCTTTTTATCAGTAATTGCTGTGAAATTAGCAGCTAAAGCCTCCAAGTTGTTGTGAAGCGTTTTGCGCTTGTGACGTTATGACATCACCTCGACTGTCATGACGTCATTCATGTAGACTGACTTGACTTTTATCATGTTGTAGTCGACCTTAAGAAACATGAAGTCATTCAAGCCCTACCTAGCAGGCGGTACTGGTGCCGGGCCCGGCTGGCCCGGAAAAACGCCTGGATCTTCACCACAGCGTCCACCTGTTGGAAGGATCACCCCATTACCATGGACACGTCACACGCACCTGGTGTGTTTATCGGTTTGGATCAGGACCGGAATTTAGTACGGGGTTCAGATCAGAACCACAGAAACTCACATTCTGCCTGAAGAATCGGAGCCGGGTCAGAAATGCCCTCCTGGCGATCCACATCCTCACCAGCGCCTGGATCTGCAGGGATGGATGCAGCGGCGAATTATATACAACAGGACAACAACACCTGAACGCACAACCGTATTAGAAACGACAAAAACACGATTAAAACGAATATTAATTATCTGCACTTCTATTCAATCCACTGAATTTAATTTAATGGTTTCTACATAAATCAAAATAGTTTAAATTGAAGATTTTAAGGAGTTGGCAAGTTTATTTTGTAAAACTTCAAAGAACAATATTCATACTTAGATTGTTTTGTTACCATAGGAACAATCTGATGCTGTGAGTTTAATCTTTAAGTTTGAGCCGTTTGCCCCGTGCAGCCCCAGGGTTCTGCCCCGTGCAGCCCCAGGGTTCTGCCCCGTGCAGCCTCAGGGTTCTGCCCCGTGCAGCCTCAGGGTTCTGCCCCGTGCAGCCCCAGGGTTCTGCCCCGTGCAGCCTCAGGGTTCTGCCCCGTGCAGCCTCAGGGTTCTGCCCCGTGCAGCCTCAGGGTTCTGCCCCGTGCAGCCTCAGGGTTCTGCCCCGTGCAGCCTCAGGGTTCTGCCCGGGCCCCGTGCAGCCCCAGGGTTCTGCCCCGTGCAGCCTCAGGGTTCTGCCCCGTGCAGCCTCAGGGTTCTGCCCCGTGCAGCCTCAGGGTTCTGCCCCGTGCAGCCTCAGGGTTCTGCCCCGGGCCCCGTGCAGCCCCAGGGTTCTGCCCCGTGCAGCCTCAGGGTTCTGCCCCGTGCAGCCTCAGGGTTCTGCCCCGTGCAGCCCCAGGGTTCTGCCCCGTGCAGCCTCAGGGTTCTGCCCCGTGCAGCCTCAGGGTTCTGCCCGTGCAGCCTCAGGGTTCTGCCCCGTGCAGCCCCAGGGTTCTGCCCCGTGCAGCCCCAGGGTTCTGCCCCGTGCAGCCTCAGGGTTCTGCCCCGTGCAGCCTCAGGGTTCTGCCCCGGGCCTGCAGGATGAGCAACAAACAGATTTCATTTAATGAGCTGCTAATGTGGCTTTAGCAACGCTAACATTTCTGTGTTGCGTTTCAATAAGAGCCACAGAAACTGATTTGGTTGCCTGAGTTTATGGGACGAGTTTCTCAGATCTCTGGTTCATCAACTCTTTCTAAGTGGACAAAACATTTCATATGGTTAGCAGTGTGATTGGTCCGGATTTAAATGCAGAAACTCTCAACTTATCTTTTCAGTTTATAGTGAAATGCTTACATCATCATAAGTGCTCAGAGCAACAGACATGCTTGCAACCTGGCTTTACAAAAAAAGTGATTTTTTAAAATGTATTTTTGAAATTATTATTTTCCTAAAAACATCAACAAGAAAGGCTTAGCCTGGCGGTGGGGCTAGTAAAGCATGGCGGGCTGCCAGGCCTATAATACACTGGGCGAAACCCTGACCAGGTGAGTCCCAGGCTCACCTGAGGGTCTCTGAGTGAAGATGTTGTGACGGCCCAGAGCTGTAAAACCATCGCTTACCTTGACGATGGTCCTCCAGTTCCTGTAGAGGAGCTGCAGCCGGCGGCGGTACGCCCTCTGCTGGATGAACCTCCTCCAATGAGACTGAAGAACAGAGAGAGGCGGTGATGATGATGATGATGCGACCGATGGCAGCGGTCGCAGCTCTCACCTGGATGATGACAACAGCAGCGCTCTGATCAATCAGGTAGCGCCGGCGACCCTCCAGCTGCTGCCTGACCAAGAAGCCCCGACAACGCGCCTGAAGGCCAACCACCAGGGCGGCGCTGCTGCGCCACAAAATGCCGCGGTTGTAGGATATTGAAACGTTGCTCACTACTTCCTGCAGGGGGCGACAACAAGTCAGGCTCCAGCCAATCACCTCACAATAAACCAAAAAGTATCAGACATAATCAATGTCAGTAGCCAGAATATTCAATAATTTTACTGAAACGCAAAGCATTCTGGGAGGCAGAGGTGAGCTAAGCTAGCTGGGTAGCATCAGCTCATACACTAATAAAGAGAACGAACCAATAATTATTGATAAGAAACGACTGAAATGAAACCGTGACATGCTTTCCAACAGCATTGTCCAGCCAATCAGAGACAAACTCAAAAAGCTCCAGCCAATCAGAGCCTGTGAAACTAGACATGAACTGTGTCAGCCTCTCAGTCTACGCCAGACCCTCTGTACGCTGCAGTCGGGTCCGGCCCGGTCGGGTCCGGTCCGGCGCCGCCCGGCCCGGCTGCACTCAAAGGGTTCGCATTAGCAGGATGATGGCGCTATAGCACCAGAACCGTCTGGTCGGCTGCTGTCTTGTCTGGGTTAGGCTGGTTCCTGCTCAGTCCAGGTATCTATTCTGACCAGGTGCAGCCACAGGCCCCGCCCCTTCACCTGTATGTCCTGTCGGGTCAAGAAGCAGCTGTGGTTCCGGAAACCATCGGGTACCACCCAGCTTCCCTCCAGCCGGCTCAGGTGGAAGTAATAAAACGACCCGTCGTCCAGCCGGACCCGGACCCATGGACTCCGCTCCGCACCTGGACACGGCAGAACCTTCACTAGAGTCCACGCCTCACCTGGACGGGCCTCACCTGGACGGGCCTCACCTGGACGGGTCCGGTCTGCCAGACGGCTGCTTAGCTCCTGCTGGTAGGCAGCGGCGCAGTCGGGCAGAACGCCGTGCAGCTGCAGGTCCGGCAGAGACAGAACCCGCAGCGTCTGCTGGGCCCGGTTCTCCTTCACCGCCTGGTTGGCGGCTGCCACCGCCAGGCACACTGCAGGAACGGGTCAGAACCACACAGGTGGGTCAACAGGTTCTGAGCCCCGAGGCCTTCAGCTAACCGAAAGGTTCTGCTGATGGATGGAAGCGGGTCGGGAGTGGTTCTGATCGGACTCACGCTTCAGAGCTTTCTGGCTCTGCTGATTGGCTTGCTTCACTACTTCCTGGATATCAGCCAACCACAGCTCAGCTCCTGGGCCTCTACTTGTCTGATTGGACAGAAGCAGAATAATGAGGATCCCTAAGTCAATCGCTGATGACCTGTTACCTGTGCGCTCACCTGGGCTTTGTCGTGCCTGCAGCTGGTCAGCAGCGCCAGGTACCTGCAGGCGTTGGCAGGTATGACGCCCTGCAGGCCACCAGAGGGCAGCAGCAGAGCAGACAGCAGCAGCTGGACATCTCCTCTCCTCAGCGCCTCATTTATCAGGCCGACCACCTGGAACTCTGTCACACAGGTAAACACAAGGTGCATCAGCATGGTGTGTGTGTGTGTGTGTGTGTGTGTGTGTGTGTGTGTGTGTGTGTGTGTGGTGTGTGTGTGTGTGTCGTACGCTGGAGTTCGTCCTCAGCGCAGCTGTTCACACTGTTTATTCCTTCCTGCAACTGATTCCAGGTGAGTATGGCTCCACCCCCCTGCTGCTTCACACCTGCCAGGTGCTGCATATACCTGGGCAGCACAGACCTCTTCGTCGTCATCATCATCATCAGGTGCTGTGGAGCTCAGCAGGTAGACGATCTGCTCTCACCTGTCCATGAGGGCGCTATCCACATCACAGAGTCCTGCAGACGGACTGACCAATGAGGAGCTGAACTGCTGGAGATGTCCCGCCTCCAGGCTCTGATTGGTCAGAACAACTGCCGACAGCATCTCCACAGCAACAAACAGCTCTTCCTGGTGCAACTCCCCCTGGAGGACAAAACAGGAAGCTACAGGACCGACAGAACTGAGCTGCTCCCTGCTGGACCAGGTGTGTCCCAGGTGTGTCTACCTGAGTGGTGCGTCTCTGCAGCAGCTGCAGCTCCCGGTGGTAAAGCGCCGCCGCAGTTGGAAACACTTCAGGCAGCTGCAGGTCAGAGTTCATCAAACAGCTGACGGTGCGCCTGGGATCGCTTCCCCGCAGCGACGAGTTGACGCTCTGCACCGCCAGGAGACCTGGGAGACCAGTGGACAGGTGAGACCGGTGGACAGGTGAGACCAGTGGACAGGTGAGACAGGTGTTTCCTACGTCTCGCGGCGCTCTGAGCTTCCTGGTTGGCAGCAGCGATGCTCTCCTGCAGCTCGGCCGGCTCCAGAGGATCCGGGGAGCCCAGATCCTGGGTCAGAGGTCAGAGGTTGAGCTGTCACAGGTGAGCAGAACATCTGAATCCAGAACGTCAAAGTGCGTTTTATACCAGCGCCTTCTGCTGGCGGTCCTCCAGCAGCTGATCCAGGTACCAGGTACCGTTGGAGCCACGGAGGCCCCTGAGGGCCAAACATGGCCGCTGCAGCGCAGCAAGCAGAGAGAGTTCATTGGCAGCGTCCAGAGCCTCGTCCACCTGCTGCACCGCAGACCGCACTGCAACACACATGGAGGCTCAATCAGGGCCCCTGCAGGACCAACTGGGGGGCCCTGTAGGACCAACCGGGGGGCCCTGTAGGACCTACCGGGGGGCCCCTGCAGGACCAACTGGGGGGCCCTGTAGGACCAACCGGGGGGCCCCTGCAGGACCCACCGGGGGGCCCTGTAGGACCAACCAAGTATTTTGTGATTTTATCAAGTTGAATCTTAATTCCAGTTAGTAACTCCAGGAAGTTGAACTGAATTAAATTAATTGTAATTAATTATTCATGTAAATATCTTCAATTCAAAACAGTAAAGATGAGAAAAGGGTCAAAGGTTTTGGGTCAACAGCAGTGAAGAGGGCGGAGGAGAGGTGGATGTTGGTGCTTCACTGATTCTGGTGTTTTGGGGGAAAATCACAGCAGATGAAATTAATGTCTTGGTTTTTATTTCTATCATATTTTGTCATTTTCTGATCATTTCCTGACTGTCTTATTTTGACCAGAGTTAAATTCATCTCCCGTTTCTCTGGTCAACCTGCCATCTTCTCACCGTTGACGCTGCCGATCAGCTCCTGGATCTCCCGGCGGCTCAGGAACTCCTCATACATGTCTCGTTCCTCCCGGCCTCCCTGCTCACAAACACGCAGGTCAGAACCAGCAGCCGACCGGACGGCAGCGCTTCTTCTTCGACCAATCACAGCTGACCTGGTGAGCCGCTCGCTGTGCCTTCCTCCTCCTGGCATCCCTCAGCGCCTCCTGGTAGGCGGCCATCAGCGCCTCCTGCAGGTCGCAAAGCAGCGCCGCAGGGTTCCTCAGAGCCGCCGCCGTGCCGCTCACCTCCCCGCGGTCCACCGCCTCGTTAATGGCCGCCACGGCCGCGTGCACTGAGGGCAGAGCGTGCCGTCAGACCCGTACCTCTACCCGGGAGCTCCCAGCCAATTGGAGCCCTCCTACCTGCGGCTTCGTCCACAGACAGCTCATTGGCCAGGATGCCGCCGATCTTACTGAAGGCCGGCATCTGGATCCCGTATTTATCCAGCTCCAACTCCATGTTGCTGATCTCTTCATCTACAGAGTCACATGTTACCAACATTGTTCTCTGATTGGTCCAAATATGCACCAAGACTCAAGCTGGCTGCTGATGCTACCTGGAAAACACAACTGAGTCCAACAATCACCTGTCTGTCAACATTTACCTGTGAACTTTAATTTTCCATAGAGGTCATAAATAGGAGGAGCCAAACCCAGTCTGTGCAGGTAGAGGCTGCAGAAACACGAGAGACAGACAGGTGAGCAGACAGACAGACAGACAGACAGACAGGTGAGCAGACAGACAGGTGAGCAGACAGACAGGTGAGCAGACAGACAGACAGACAGACAGGTGAGCAGACAGACAGGTGAGCAGACAGACAGGTGAGCAGACAGACAGACAGACAGACAGGTGAGCAGACAGACAGACAGACAGACAGGTGAGCAGACAGACAGACAGACCTGAGGGCGTGGATGCAGTAAACTGCTCTAGGCATGTTCTTCTTGTCGTAAATGTCTGTAGTTTCAGGGTGGAAGATCTGCAAACATGAACAGCCAATCATGAGTTGTGAAGTTGATCAGCTGACCAAGCAGTGACCAATCCTGTGAAGGTTGTCTGACCGCAGGCAGGCCCAGGGTCGTCATTGCGTTCCTCCAGTGGTTTATGTTGTCAGTGTGACGAAACTGGAGACCCACAGCCTGCACAGATCAATGTTATCGATTAGAGGAATCTGTTCTGATCGGTTTCTGGACCAGAACCTGAAGGAACCAATATTCCAAAACCAGAAGGCTGCTGGGTTTTCTGATGGAATGGTGCAGGACTCAGTAATTCAGCTCAATCTTTCCCCTGCAGACAGAACCTGGCCTGGCTCAGGTGTTAGCTTACCTGAACCTAGCAGCACTAAATGAAATCTGTTTGTTGCTCATCCTGCAGGGCCGGTCCAAGGCTGCATGAGGCCCGGGGCAGAACCTGACCTACGGGCCCCTCTTGCTGCTAAACCATCAGAACCTCTAACGGCTTCTTTTGGATTTAATCTGAGAGATTAAAGTAGATTAACTGGCCAACCTGAAAACTATCAGTTCTAATTACAGTTTATTAATTTGTATTTGTGAACAAACGGCTCAACGTCAAAGATTAAACTCACAGCATCAGATTGTTGCTACGGTAACAAAACAATCTAATTATGAATATTGTTTACAAAATAAACTTGCCAGCTCCTTAAAATCTTCAATTTAAACTATTTTGATTTATGTTGAAACCATTAAATCAAATTCAGCAGCATTGATCATCTCAATAAATAGATGTTACATTTATGTTTCTGTGTTAAAATATGATCATTTACGGCCCCTGAAGGCCTGGGGCCCGAAGGAGCCGCTGACTTAATGTGGATTAAATAGAAGTGCAAATAATTGATATTCATTTTAATATTTTTACATTTCCTGTCAACTTGAAGTGTTTTACTATAAAATGGCGGCGGACGCCTCGGCGCCGGGCTGAGCAGGTTTACTGGGGAAACCCTGGATAAAATCACTGACTACATATTTTAGAAATAAAACATTTTCTTGATTTTTTCCGGCTTCTCGTGGTTGCAGTGGAAAATATGTTTGTACTAAAACTATGTTTGTACTAAAACTATCAGTAGCGGTGGCTACTGATAGTTAGCCACGGCTAGCAGTAAAAAAAGAAAAAGTTCACTGATCAGCAAACAAGAATCTTACTTCAGCTAATGCTAATCTGCTCTACACATGAAAGTTACCGAAAGCTAACCCTACTAAACATAAAAACTTGACAGAAGCTAATGCTAACGCTAAGACGTCTCTGTTTCTCCTTCCTGGTCTGAGACTCGCGAACAGCAGTCCTCCATTTCTGATTCTGCTGCATTTTATCACTTTAACTTTCAAGAGGCGGATGAGTAAAACAGGGTGTGACATAAAGTTCATCCAAGTTCATCTGTCTGCCATCTTGAAAAAATGGCCATCATTCTGAAATCCAGGTGGCTGATGGAAAATTTGAAAAGTGTACAACCTGAATGCTTCTATTCATAGTTGAAAGACAGGCCTGCCACGATAACAGATTTTGCTAGGTGATAAATTGTCTCAAAAAATTATTGAGATAAACGATAATATTGTTTGAAGACCTTTTCACACTGATTTAATGGAAATTATGTAATAATACATGCGATTTTCTGCCAAAGATGGAAACACTTTACTTTCCAAAGACACTTAACACTGGGACTGATACACAAAATAAATAAAACAACCAAAACCACAAATAAAATAGATTCTCAGTCTCCATTAACAATAAATGTACTTGAATAAAAACTAAACAACATGGGCGCTGTGGAGCCACGAGCCAAGATGGCAGCTTAAAGTGGATGCTCCGTGTAACCTACACCAAAACTTCGAAAAACCCCAGGATTAGAAACTTATTTTGGACCTGAAGATGTCAAAGTCTACTACTCTTAAGGATTGTGATATTTTCACACGAAAACGCGGCTCCCAAAAATTAGCTCAAACTGATATTTCGGGAATAGACCAGGACAAGAAGGGTGCCGCTAGCATTGATAGCATGTGTGACCTTAGCACGGTGTTAGCTTAGCTTCGGTCGTTGCATTCGGAGTTCGGCTGATTTGGAAACAATCTGGACAGCATAGATAACCGCATGGGCGAAATGACGAAGTCCATCGCCTCTCTGGAGAAAAACATAGCAGAGGTGAAACAAAATGTTGCTGCTAATGCTACTAGACTGGAGGAAGCTGAAAGCAGAATCGTGTCGGTGGAGGAACTTTTAGAAACTAGTGCGGCGGATCTTGCCAAAACCCTGAAGCGAATATCCTACTTGGAGGCGAAGACCGACGACCTGGAGAATCGAGGCCGAAGGAAGAATCTGCGCCTTTTTGGGCTCCGGGAGAGCGCTGAGGGTCAGCGGCCTTTGCTGGAGTTTGTACGGGAGATGCTGCCGCGCTGGCTGGAGACCGATAGAGCCTTCATCACTGAGAGGGCCCACCGCAGCCTGGCGCCTCCGAAACCGAACCTGCACAGAGCCGTCCTCATTCGTTTCCTGAATTTCCAAGATCGGGAATTTGTTTTCCGCTCTACAAAACAACGCAATATCCAACACGATGGGAATAGACTGTTTTTCACTCAGGATCTTTCAGCAGAAACCATCCGACAGCGAGCTGAGTTCGATAACATCAGGAAAGCTTTTGCTGAAAAGGGAATGTTCCGCGGGTTTCAATATAATCCATGCAAAATGAGGATCCTCCACAAGGGAAGATACAGCTGTTCTCATCTCCTAAGGAAGCTGGGGATTTCCTCCGCACATACACTGGATAGATCTGACTGTACTGGTGAGCGGCTCAGGTCCTGAACCACAGAATCAGCTGCTGATATCTGATAGCTGTTTTTCTCTATCTCAGCTGACACAGTAGCCAGTTAATCTTTGATGTATGTAGAAGTCATAGGCAGCTACAGAGTGACTTTGTTTAGTTTTGTTTTTGCACGTAGGATAGTTTTATCTGTTCGTATAACGCTTTTAACAAATACCTTTGTACTTGCTGGTTACTTATGTCATATTAATACGAAATATCTTTTTAAACGCCTCTTATGGCTATTTCTGGGTTCGCTGTATTAATGTTTTTACTATGGTGTATGATTCATGAGCACCACTGATGCTTTTGAAGTGGGTTTCACAGTTCAGCTACTCCTCTTATTAGTGGATTAGCAAAAGCCCCAATTTATTAATCTGAGTAAGGGAGGGGGGGATTTAAGGGTTATGTGTCACTTTCAGGGCTTTTTTTTTCTTATTTAACTTTTTGTTTTATTTTACCCAAATCTCTGTGTATTTTCCGTTAACTCAGCATCATGCATTGCTATTAACATCCCAGGAAAAAACAAAGGATGGAACAGATTAGTACTCGTATCTCTTCCATAAAAATTACAAGCTGGAATGTGAGAGGACTTAGGAAACAAACTAAACTGAAACAGGTTATAAATAGGATTAAACAACTTAAATCGAAGATAATTTTCCTTCAAGAAACACATTTAACTAATTGTGAGATAAAGTTTGTAAAAAATAGGTGGCCGGGCCAGGTGATACATGCGTCATATGATAATTATGCAAGAGGCGTAATTATTTTGATCCATGAAAGCATGCCGTTCCAAATTGTAAGAACAATAAAAGATTCAGCTGGTAGGTATGTAATTGTCCAGGGTAACATTCTCTCAATTACTTTAAATTTAGTGAGTTTATATGGCCCAAATGAAAATAAGCCAAAATTTTTGAAGATCTGTTTCTTACGATATCTACCCTTAAAGGATTTTATGTAATTGGAGGAAACTTTAACTGCACCTTAAACCCGAATATTGACCGATCGGTTGGCTTGGATGCTTATAAAAATCAAACTAAAAAATTAATAAGTCAATATATATTGGATATTAACTTGGTGGAAGTGTGGCGAGAACAAATCCCGATAAAGTAGAATTCTCCTGTCACTCGAGTATACATAAATCCCACTCACGTATAGATTATTTCCTTGTTTCAAGAGAGCTTTTATCAATGATCAAACAATGTCAGTATGACAGCGTAGTGATCAGTGATCATGCACCTATCTCACTGAATATTTACATAGAAAACTTGGTGCATAATTCACCCCGTTGGCGGTTTCAAGTAAAATGGCTACAAGATCCAAATTTTGTCAGACTAATAGGGGAGAAGATAGATACTTTGAATTAAATACGGATCAGACTTGCGCCTCAGTGAGATGGGAAGGATTCAAAGCTTATACTCGAGGTGAAATCCTTAGCTATACAAGTACAAAAAACAAACAAAAGAAACGGCTGGAAATCTTGGATAAACAAATAAAATCTCTGGAATTGGACTTGAACACCAATGATGACCAAACAAAGCAGAATGAATTATGTTTGAGAACTGAATATAATAAATTATCTTATGAGGCAGCAGCAAAAAGTTTAATGTGGTTAAAACAATCCTATTATGACCAAGGAGAGAAAGCTGGAAAATTATTGGCGTGGAGAATTAAGAAGATGCAGAGTGAAAGAGCAATTAATAGTATAAAGACCCCTCTGGCAGGGTAACAGTGGATCCAGCTGAAATTAACGACAGCTTTAGGCAATTCTATGTAAAACTATATAAATCGGAGTACTATTGCGCTTCAGACGAACAAGATATTCTTAGATCAACTTCAGTTCCAGACTCTTACAGAAGAGACAAAAAAGGAATTGGATACAAATTTAACGATTGAAGAAATCTCACAGGCCATACAAAGTATCAACAGTGGTAAAGCTCCTGGGCCTGACGGTTTCCCTATTGAATTTTACAAAACTTTTAAAGAAAAACTTATAATTCCTCTCTTCAATATGTATGAAGAAGCATTTAAAAGGGAAATTCTCCCACCTTTGAGACATGCAATGATTACACTGATGTTAAAGCCTGGTAAATCCCCTGAGGAGTGTTCCTCATTTAGACCAATCAGTCTGGGGGGTGGACACTAAAATACTTTGCAAAGCCCTAGCAAACAGACTGGACCTTTATATCATATTTAGTTCATAACGATCAAAATGGATTTATACCAAAACGTCAAGGGTTTCACAACATAAGTAGAGTCCTAAATATAATTCATGAGAAATCTGACGCTAAAGATACAGCTTTATTATCACTTGATGCTCGTCAGGCCTTTGATAGAATTGAATGGTCATATCTATTTAACGTTCTCCCGAGGTATGGATTTGGCTGCAATTTCCTCAAATGGGTTAAACTTTTATATGCAACTCCCGAAGCCAGTGTTTGGACAATAATTTAGCCTCTAAACCTTTCATGTTAGAACGTTCCACTGCCAGGGTTGCCCGTTATCTCCGGTGTTATTTGTCTGAGCTATAGATCCCTTGGCAATGATGATCAGAACGCAAACGGATCTATTTGGCATTCAGCTGGGGAGACCAGGAGCATAGATTGGCATCGTATGCTGATGATCTGATAATTTTTTTGACAAATTTATCCGTTAGCATCCCAAATTTAATGCAACAAATAGAGATATTTGGTCAGTTCTCTGGCTACAAAATAAATGATTCAAAGTCCTCTATTCTATTTCTGAACAGGGATGAAAGACTGAACCCGGTTGTACAGACGCCTCTTATCAATGCAAGGGAGGGATTTGTGTATTGGTGTTAAAATCACCTCAGACATTGAAACAATCGTATCAGCAAACTATGACCCTCTGGTCAGTGAAGTAAACGAGTCACTGAATAATTGGATGACATTGCCCATATCGATGATTGGCCCGATAAATATCATCAAAATGAATATATCACCATGATTTTTGTATCTTTTTCAGACAATTCCTTTGCCTCTTCCAAAACATTTTTTTGATAGATTAAATGGTATTTTTAGTAGATTTATTTGGAACAATAAAAAACCTAGGTTGAGACTTCGCCTGTTGTACCTGCCATATGAGAGAGGGGGGTTACAACTCCCTAATCTTAAACTGTATTATTGGTCTGCCCATTTACACTCAGCCATGTTCTACTTTTCAACTGAAACACACCCAGCTTGGATGGAAATTAAACAATTAACAACAAACCTTAGATTAAATCTGTATTTGTACTCCGCAAAGCCAAAGCAATTGATAAAAATGACAAAGAATCCCTTTCTAAAAAACACAATTGATGTCTGGTATAGGACCCATCAATATATTGGATATATATATTGATCCATCTCCTCTTTCTACCCATCTGGGGGAACAGAGATTTTAAGGCAGGAACAGCTGATGGAGGTTTCAAAAGCTGGGCAAATAAAGAAACTGCCAGATCTTTATAAGGATGACAGGCTTCTTACATTTGAACAATTATGTCAAATATAACATTTCAAAGAAGCATTTTATAAGTATTTACAAATTAAACATTTTCTTATGTCTAAACAAAAAGATTGAACCCAGACCGCCACTGTCATACCTAGAAAAATTGTGCTAGAAAATCTAGAGAAGAGAGGTCATATTTATTTTATTTAGCTTTACTAAGGCATGATAAGGAATCCACTGCAGATAAACTGGATGCATGGAGAGTTGACATTCGAGAAGAGATACCAGTAGCAGACTGGAACACTGCATGAGTAAAGGCCCAAAACAGTCAATCAATACAAGAATGAAACTTCAATTCAAGTGGTTGATGAGAATTTACATAACTCCAGTTAAACTGAACATCCCAGATATCTGCTGTAAGTGTTTGGTTGGAAAGGTTCTCTCTTTCACTGCGTATGGGAGTGTCCAACATTACAGCAATATTGGAACTTGATTATGCAAACTTTGTCAGAGATCATTGGAGTGAATGTACCTGCTGAGGCCAAAATGTGTGTTTTGGGTATTTATCCGGAGAATTGTGTTTTTAATTCCAGACAGTTAAAATTGATTGACTTTGGACTCCATCAGGACACTAGATTAATATCTCTATACTGGAAAAAATGGACAGGCCTTCAATTCACATGTGGGTGAAGGAGATGACATCGTGTGGCTCTGGAGCGACTCACTTACATTATCAGAGGAAAAGGAGAAATCTGAAGAAACATGGTCACCATTGACCGAGTTTCTGAAACACTACAAAGGGCGTTAAGAGAATTGTGCAGATTGCTGAGGTTTTTGTTTTGTTTTTTTATTATTTTTATCATTGTTTATTATTGTTAATTTGTGTTTGTTTGCTTTGGGGACTACATTACTTAATGAGAATCTGTATTGAGTGATTCACTGTCACTTGTTTTTTGTTGTTGTTGTTTTTTGTCTTATTTTTCTATGTTATAAAAATTAAAAAAAAAAAAAAAAAACCAACCAAAACAACATGAAGCCAAAGTGGAAATAAATACTGCATTCAACCAAAAGAGTGCAGATCATGAAGTCTGTATAGTTTTATTGCCCTTCAGTAATCATTAGATTTAAATAGAGAAGAATCCGACTGAATGATGCAATTGTTCAAACTACAGGATTTTTACCCAGAACGACAATCTGAGAACGTTCTTCGTTCTGAGATTGTCCCTAGTGTGTTACGGTAGATCGTTGCTCCGATCAAGGATTTATCCAGACTGGGAGAGTGACGCAGCCTGTTGAATGTGACCGGTAGCCAATCAGAAAGCGCGGATCCTCCTCCTGCTTTCTGAGGGGAAACACGGAGGGAATCCCGAACAGCTGACACGATGCAACCGAAGTCCAGCAGACATCGGAAACAACATGAATGTTTATTCAACATTTCATGCAAAGAAAATATAAATAACTAGGGGAGGAGTTGGAGCGAAATTTCTACCAGAAAAAACTTTTCCGCTGTTCTTCGTTAACGTGACATAAATAGTTTATAATGATTTTCATTCAGTCAGACTGACACTAGCTGCATGCATTGCAGGAAGATTGTAGTAAGGAATTGATTAATGCCTGGTTTCATATTAGTGAACTGGACTTATTATTTTGTGTCCATTGTTGGACACAACACGGTTCGATTGAACCGTTATAGCTAGGCTTTCTGTCGGCTAATGTCTCTCAGGTTTTGACAATCCGCGACATCAGATGGTGCAGCGCGCTGGGCATTACACTAAGGAAACAAGGAAGGGAGGGTCAGTGGAGTTGAGCCTTTTTTCATTCAGTGTCATCAACAGGAAGAGAAAAAGGCAGGAAGAAATGATACAGACGATAATTGAAATGACGTCGATAGTTTTAATTTATCGTGCGATTAATTGACTTATCGTTTATTGTGACAGGGCTAGAAGACATTCACAGTAAAATTCTGAACTTTAACACAAAAACCTCAGATCATCATGTTGTGGTCTCTCGACCGGACCAGAACAGAACCGATACTGAACCTGGTATCGGAGCTGTTCTGGGTCGTAGATCTTCTTCAGTGGCACGGCGGTTGGAGCGAAGTGCTGCCCCAATTTGGCCAGAATGACTCCGTTACGCAGCGCCTCCTCCAGCTCGGTTGGGGCAGGAAGCTCCTCCCCCAGACACGCCTCCATCCACCTGGGCAGGAAACACGGGTCCAGTGAGAAAACCTCCACATGGAGGCACCAAGACCACTTCTGGTTCTGACCACTGACCTTTTAGCCTCCTCCAGCCTGCAAAGGTACTGATAGGCCACGTTCTGGACCCTCTGCTCGTCCATCTGCTCTGCTGTGAGACGCTCATCTGGGAGGAGAACAGAACAAAACACACCTGAGACTAGTGGAGAAGACATTTTTTCCTTTTGATGCTCAGCTCTCACTCTCAGTGGCTCCACCTCACTCACAACAGAGCTAAGCTTTGATTGGCAGCACAGCAGCCTTGTGGCCAATCACATGCGAGTACATGGAATGATACCTTTAAGTGAAAACAGAGGGGGGCCAGGTGAGTCCGTCCCCTCAGTCAATAGAAAGCAGTGAGGAGGGAACCCCTCAATCTGACCGACACCTTTAAATAAATCAGCATCTGGCTGCAGTTTAAAGTAGTTCAGTAAAATGTATTTGTACATTTCACTAATAAAAATCACAAAATCAAACTTATTATATAAAGGTATTGCATAATGAATTTTTGTTATGGTTCATTAAGGTTTTGCAATACTCTGCAAACAGATGTGGCCAGTCGATCCCTCCAATGATTAGTTTCTGGATTATTAAAAATTCCTGGAGGAAAATGCGCCTGCCTCAAAGCTTCGTTAGTTATGTTTATTATTTAGCGCCGTGTTCCGGCCGGAACATTCTGCGTTGCACAGAGCTCTCACTTCCGCCTCCGAGTTGTTGACGAAAGCCAGTGTTGTCATCATAACGTCCAGTCTTCAAGTTCGGCCAGTGGGGATTTAATTGATCGGTGATAATATCCGGGTTCTCATGGTTTTGGGGACCAATCAGCGTCCTTAAAATGACGGGCGATGCCTGGAGTCCGGCAGCTTTTCTCCTCTGGAGCTGCCGGTTCGGAGCTGCAGGTGTTGATGCAGGTAGAGGACAGACTGAACCCAGCGGAGGAGCTGATGGTTCAGTGCAGCTTTAAGGCCCCTCAGTGACGTTTCTCTGCCAAGTGAAACCAGAACCGTCTGATGACCGGGACGCCGTTCATCCCGGATGATGAGCTTCATATCATCTGAACGGCGTCATGGCGGCTCACGGCCGGTAGTTTCTCAGCGTGATGAACGATGGCGCCGTAAACATCCCGTATTGCTGGCCATGTCTTACTGACGTCCCCTGGTCCATTTCCTCCCAGCTTACGTTCATTTGCCCCCCATGACCCCGTGACCCCATCACCAGGCCACATTCCCGTTTTCTCAAACCCAAAGCTTGACAGGTTAGGGCCAAGGTCAGAGTTCATCTATTAAACAGACTGGAGATGAAAACAAAACTAAAAGCTGGAGCAGAGACATTTTTATAAGCGTATTGTGATCCTGAATCTTTGTTATTAAATTTAATATAATTTCAGATTCTCATATAACTTTTCTTCAGGTTGACTTAGAATCTGAGATGTTATTGTTACAGTTAATTTTCTAAACTACAGAAAAGTAAATAGTATAGAAGCTCAAATATGAAAATTGGGCTGATATTGATATCTGATACTAACACTGCTGTTATGCCAGATTTACCAATATTATATTTTAGAGCTTTTCATCAGATTATTTGATTAAACATAGGAATAATTGATACATTACTCGATTACTAAAATATTCATTTATAACAGGCCTTAATGTTACACAAAAGCAAGACTTTTCATAAAACATTGAGTGCAAAATAGATTCATATGAAAACATTCATGTTTGCTCAGGCAGTTGATGATCAAATGTTTGAGAGCCGAAAGAATCGGCTCTTCTTTAGGAGCCGTACCAAGAGCCAGTTCTCTGAAAAGAGAACTTTCCAACAACCCAGGCCGAGGTCAGATTCGCAGGAGAACCAAGATTGCATGAGTCCACAACCAGAACCAGAACCACAACCAGAACCACAACCACAACCAGAACCACAACCACAACCAGAACCAGAACCACAACCAGAACCACAACCAGAACCAGAACCAGAACCAGAACCAGAACCAGAACCAGAACCAGAACCAGAACCAGAACCAGAACCAGAACCAGAACCAGAACCACAACCAGAACCACAACCAGAACCACAACCAGAACCAGAACCAGAACCAGAACCAGAACCACAACCAGAACCAGAAGCCCCGGCTTTAGGTGAGTCTTGGTGATTAAGCGATTCTGGGTTTTAATTGCGCCACATTGATTCTTGCAGCAGAGATTAACTATGAAGTTATTCCATGATCCCTGAAGCTCCATTCCGATCTGATCAATAAAACTACAAGATGAGAAATTAATAAAACTCACAGCGGCTTCCTACTGCTGGTTCCGACATGTTGTCCCGGTTCTTTGTTCTCTGGCCGGTGAAATGCCGCCTCCCGGTTCGGTCAGAAGAGAAAACTGGACCCGAATGTGTTTGCAAAGCCTTAAATCAGCAAAACGAGCTTCAGCGCTTCGAGCTACTTCCTGTCTGAGGTTTGAAAGCTCCCGCCCGCTCTCTGATTGGCCCAATCATCAGCCTCGATAGTATCGCTTCTGCTATTGGCCAGAAGGCTGCCGCGTTGGATTCTGGTCTGTGTAGTTCTGTCTCATCAGTCAAAGCTAATTTTAAACTTATTTTAAAGCCTCATCAGTCCGCAGAACAGGAAACAGAACCTTTCTTTTCCTTGAAATAACTCAGATCAAATAGTGATGACATTCTGCGCTTCCCGGTTACCATAGCAACCGAACCAAACTGACAGCGTCGGTATGACGTCAGCTGTTTCCGATGTTTCAAGAAGTTTCGATCTGTGACCAGGTGAGAAGCTCCACCTTCAGCAGCAGGTGAGTTTCTGCTGATCATCTGGTTCCCTGGTTAACCAGGTAATCCCTGGTAACCAGGGATTACCTGGTTAACCAGGGATTACCTGGTTAACCAGGTTAACCAGGTAATCCCTGGTTAGTTATTATGTTACATTTAAAAACTGTTTTGAATCCGTTCGCAGTTATCAGAGCGGCGCGCGCGATCATTCGATATTTACTCATATTGCTCCATTATCACCTAAAAAACTGTAAAACATGAGAAATACAAACACAAAGACAGAATAAAATAAATAATAAAAGCAATAATTATCCTGCTTAGCATGAAAGTCAGCTGGCGGAATTAAAGGGCCAGTCCGTGTTTTAGAAACGCTATGTCCAAATACGGCTCAAATATTCACAGCTTTGCTGGACAGGTGACACCTGAAGCACCTGGAGGCATCCAAGGCACCGCCAGGGCCACTGAGGGGCCCCAGCCAGGGCCACTGAGGGGCCCCAGCCAGGGCCACTGAGGGGCCCCAGCCAGGGCCACTGAGGGGCCCCAGCCAGGGCCACTGACAGTAATAATTTCTGTCATTATAATATTATCAAAAACACACAATTTCACTATGAAGTGATTAGTTTTTACAATAATATATATTTGATAATGAATGTAGAAATTATTATTTTATGGATAAAAAGAAGATAATAAATTGCTCCTGTGCCCCCTGGTGGCCATGGTAGGTACTGCATGCTTCACGGTGACGAGCTGCATCCAAAGGTCAATCAGAAGGTCAGTTAGTAAAAATATGTCTCAAAAAAGGGGGGATCCTTCAGGGAGGGAGGAAAGGAAGAGGAGGAACAGAAAGAGCCAAGATAAAGTCTGTTTTAATGAGTCTTTATAATATAAAGATAATAAAGCTACTAACAGAAATGACCTTGACGACCGGTCCGGTCCGGTCCAGTCCGGTCCGGTCCAGTTCTACAACATTGAAGCTGCGTCTTTGTGTGAAACTGAGTTTGAAGGTTAATGAGTTGATTCTCCTGGTGGATATGTCTGAGGTATTTTGGCTCAAACTGTTTGAAGAGGTTTGATATGAAAATTAAAACTGATCAGATTCTGATATTGACCAGCTAAATGTTGAGAGGCTGCAGGGCGAGCTGCAGGGCAAGCTGCTCTCTGCTGCAGCTGATTTGCTGTTTGCTGCTAAGAAAAATCATTTGGAGGCTCAGAACCGACCCGGTACCGGTCCACATTCCAGGGGAGAAAGACTCACCTGGAATAAATTAGATTTTAGCTATTGGAGCTGAAGAGAAATGAATTGAATGTGTTTCTGCAGCGATTGCAGTTTTCTGGCCGATTCCTGGTTCTGACCTTTGACCTGCTGATTTTGGCTCATATGAATTTATTGAGTCTGAAATGTTTCTGAATGTAGCAGCAAAGTCTCTGAGTTGCTAACAGTGATATTAGCTGTAAACGTTGAGACTGACCTGGTCTGTCAGTCCAAACTGACAGACCAGGTATGACATCCAGAGATGTCCATCATCTCTGGATGATGGACATCAGATCAGCTTCACATGTCAGTATCGGCCGATCACGATGCCCCAAAATGAAGGAAATCGGCTCCCAGAAATCAACGGGTCCATAAATCAGATGGTCAATAAATGTATCTATTGTACATGTATATAATGTAAACAGCCAGAGATGCAATAAGTTTATAGCAGGTGTTTGAACAATCTAATGATCGGACTCCTGATTGCAGCCGGTCCACATTGTTAGCAGAACCAGAGGGCCCAAAACCTCATTTGGCTTGGGGCCCCATGGAGGCTTGGACCGGACCTGGATTGGGTTCTGGTTCTGAATCAAATTCCAGGAGTGAAAACATCTGTTCCTCTCATCCAGGTGAGCACATCTGCTGCAGATCCAACATGGCTTCCGAGGAGTCTCCTCCAGGTGAGGAGCAGGTGAAGAGGAGCAGCAGGAGGCAGCAGAAGCAGACTGGAGAGGTGGAGGAGCGGACGTGGGCCGGCCACCGAGCGCTGCAGGCCGGCCGGCCGCAGGACGCGCTGCGCTGCTTCAAGCAGGCCCTGCAGGCCGCTGCACAGGTGAGTCAGACAGGTGAGATTAGCTGGTGGTGTGTAGCGGTTTGTAGTCCTTTGGCGGTGTGAGAACTCCATTTCCCATCCTGCCCCTGTGTGTCCAGCTGCAGGACTCTCAGGTTTTGCGCGCCTGCTCCTTCAACCTGGGCGCCGCCTACGTGGAGGCGGGCCGACCTCAGAGAGGACTGGACCTCCTACGCCGGAACCAGCCCGGTCCAAAAGCGGAGCGGCTCCCAGATTTGCAGTTCAACACGGCGCTGGCCCACAATGCACTTGGGCAGTACCAGGAGGCCGCATCCCACTTCCTGCGGGCCGCTCAGCTTTACCGGTCACAGGGTGACGGAGGTGGCGAAGGCGACGCCTGCATGGAGCTGGGCCGCTGCTGCAGCAGAACCCAGGTCAGAACCAGGACCGGGTCAGAATTAGAATCGGGTCAGAACCAGGATCCACAACCTAATGAAAAACCAACTGAATGCCAATTTTCTTGTAAGTTAGGTTCCAGGTTTTTTCTAGGTATTATTCCAGGTGTTTTCCAGGTGTTTTCTAGGTGTTTTCCAGGTGTTTCCAGGTGTTTTCTAGATGTTTCCAGGTGTTTTCTAGGTGTTTCCAGGTGTTTTCCAGGTGTTTTCCGGGTGTTTCCAGGTGTTTCCAGGTGTTTCCAGGTGTTTCGTGTCATGTCTGCTGCAGGACTGGCCCCAGGCGGTGCAGAGTTTCCTCAGAGCAGCAGAGAGTTACAAAATGGCCTCCATGTTGGATTCTGCAGCCGCCGCCCTTAGAGAGGCAGGAAGTCACGTGGTCCAATCAGATCTGTCCAACCATGATGACATCAGCAGCCTGCTGACAGAGTGTCTGAGTTTGAGCAGCAGTGTCAGCGACCTGAGCATTCTGGGTAATCACCCTTCCTGGTCCTAGGGGCTGCTGAGACTTCCTGCAGCGCCCGTCAGTAACTCCCCTCATGTTGTCCAGGTGAGCTGTACCTGTCGGTGGGCGTGGCCTACTGCCGCATCAGGTGCTTCCAGGAGGCGGTGAGCTGCCTGCGGCGAGCCGTGGAGCTGGCAGCTCACCGCCCCCCCCTGCTGGCCAAAGTCCTGCACAATCTGGGAGCGGCGCTTAACGGTGCAGGCGACTTTAGCTCAGCGGTGGAGCCGCACCGGCAGGCGGCGCGGCTCTACGGTGAGCCATGGAAACATTCAACTCAGGTGTTGACCTTTACCTGTTCTCAGTGTGACGTTCAGGTGTGTGTACCTGCAGGCTCTCAAGGTTGCCGTGGTGATCAGGCTCGATGTTTCAGTAACCTGGCCATCGCCTGCAGTCACCTGGGGGATCACCAGGAGGCAGCAGAGAGCTTCATCCTGGCTCTACAGGGATTCAGAGACACAGGTACCAAGAGAAGGTGTGCTAACGAGGACCAGGTGTGCCAACAAAGAATAGATGTTAGCACACAACCTGTGCTTGTTAAGGACCAGGTGTGTTACCTGTGTGTCTCCACCTGTGCAGGCGACCGCCTGGCTGAGGTCCAGGTGTGTGAGCGTCTGGCTGAGTGTTACCTGAGGCAGAAGAAGCTGCAGAAAGCTGTTGAGCTCTACAAACAGGCTCTGAACGCGATCTCTCAATCCAAGGTAGCACACCTGGAGGTGAAAGGTCACCCTGAGATCTGAGCCATCTGCTGAATGGGAGAAGTTGAGCCAATCAGAGATTGGCCCACAGATCATGGTGTTGTTCTCAGGAGGCTGAAGGAGTTCAGGACCGGCTGGTGGAGCGTCTGACCGCAGCTCTGCAGCTCAGTCTGACTGTGACACAGGTGCAGCACCTCACCTGCAGCACCTCACCTGCAGCACCTCACCTGCAGCACCTCACCTGCAGCACCTCCCATCCTGACTCCACCCACCCAGCTTCAGGTATCTGATAGTTAGAAATCAGTCCATGTTTTTCCTTCTCCTCTCCTCAGAGGCCACGCCCCGACAGGCACCGCCCACATCTGCCCCAACCCCACAGCTCACCTGGTCACCAGGACGACAGGTGAGTGTCTGCGGATGAGGGAACCCAGAGCTCAGCGTCTCATTCGGTCTCATTGCTGTTCTCACAGGAAGCTTGACGTGGCACAACGTCTGGCAGCCAATCAGCATTTAGATGAGCAAAGGGCGGAGTCTCCAGGTCAGTTTGACCTTTATCATTTTCTGTCTTTTGTTGCTATGGTATACCTGATTGTGCTCAGGTGCAGCAGCTGAGTTGAGCTCAAGTGGACGGGCAGTGGCTGATCCAGAGGGCGGAGTCACACCTGGACGACACCTGTAAGATAACAGCGTTTCATTGGTTCACCTGATAAGTCCAGGTGTAGAAAAGTCCGTCTGTGTTTCAGCTCAGAACCACCAGAGGAGCTGCAGCAAGGTGAGTCGGCTGGACTTTACCCCCTGCTGCACCTGAGCAGCAGGTCGACTGGAGCTGCAGGTGAGAGCTACCTGTTTGTTTCCAGGTGAGCACAGACAGGTAACTCACATCTGCTGATTGTTCTGTTTTTTAAGGACAATAAAGTTTTTGAATTATTGAAACAAACTCTTTGTGTTTCAGTGAAGCTTCTTCACCTGAGCAGGTGGAGCCCAACCCCACCTGCTCAGGTGATCTCAGGAAGTCAGGGGTCACCAGAGGCCAGTTGGAGGTCCCGCCTCTGTTCTCTGATGTAACCCTCTGATTGGACAATGGACTGATGATGTCAGACCTTCATCAGCTCTGCATCCATCATGGCTTCCTGCTGCAACCCTGGTAACCTGGCAACCTGGTAACCCTGGTAACCCTGGTAACCTGGCAACCTGGTAACCTGGCAACCTGGTAACCCTGGCAACCTGGCTACACTGGTAACCTGGCAACCTGGTAACCCTGGTAACCTGGGTTTGAATCTGGGAGTCAGAGAAAATATTGCATTGTGATTTATTGTAAATATTATTTTATAATCACTGTGGAATTTTAAAACTAGAAGCAGGTCGGCCAGCAGGGGGCGCTGTGATGCTGGCAGAACGTTTTCCCCATTAAAGATGGAATACACCACCGGAGACAGCGCCACCTACCCTGTCTCTACAATCAGCGCGGATCTTTGAACCTTTCAGGAACTTCCTGTTTCAGATCAAATTTGAGTTTGTGAACATTTTAAACATCGGAAGCAATTTGATCTGAAAACATTTCATTTGTTTCATTTCACGCTAAATCTGGAGTAACTATTCATGATAAACACTTTAAATCCAATCTGATCTGGATCAGAACCGGAACCAAGAATGACTCAGACTGATTCAGGCTGACAGTCTGAAGCGTCAGCAGCTTCCTGGACCAGAAGGTTCTGGACCCAGAAGGTTCTGGACCCAGAAGGTTCTGGACCCAGAAGGTTCTGGACCCAGAAGGTTCTGGACCCAGAAGGTCCTGATATTTAATTCATTCACACCTGACGCTGCAGGAGGAAGATGATGAGGAAGAGGACAGATTGAGCTTCATCAATAAATTCTTCCTGTTGCGTCTCAAATGGATGTTTTAAAGATTCAGATTTACACACTGACACACACACACTGACACACACACACACTGACACACACACTGACACACACACACTGACACACACACACTGACACACACACACTGACACACACACTGACACACACACTGACACACATTAACCCTCAGCAGCTGCAGGCTCCGCCCTTGTTGCAAGCTCCGCCCATTGCTGCAGGCTCCGCCCCCTTGCTGCAGGCTCCGCCCCCTTGCTGCAGGCTCCGGGTCTCCAGTTTTCCTGCTCTGTTTCGGATCAGCTGCTGGATCGTTATCTGGACCGGACCTGATTCTGCTGGTTCTGTTTGGGTCGGAGTTCTGGGGGAACATGAGGAGGAGAGGAGCAGAACACCGGACGCGGGCCTGAGGAGCAGAACCGACTCAGAACTGCTGAGCAGGTAAATCACCAACTCCTTCACAATAAAAGCATCCAGATGACGCCGAGTCTCTGAGTGATGGAATTCAGGCGGTTCTGGTAGTTCTGTTCACCAGGTGATCAGAACTACCAGGTTGATGTTCTGTACTGTCTGTCGGATGTGTGAGCAGTTAGTCTCTAAGCATCAGGTTTGATTCTTCAGTTTGACGGTCGAGTTCTGACGGTTCTGTTGGTAAAAGTGGAGAAAGTGAAACAAACATCTGGATTAAAATGTTTCGGTCCGTTTACAATCTGGACGCGGCTCCACAGTCCATCAGAGAAGTTGGAGCAGGTTGCCACGGCGACACCGTGAACACAGAGCGGCTAAAAATAGCGTCAGGCTGAAGCTGATCTGACTGCGGCAGCGCGGCGCGGCGGCAGAGCGGCGCAGCGCGGCGCGGCGCGCGGCCGCGCTGCGGCAGCGCGGCGGCGGGGAGCGCGGCCGGAGCGCGGCGCGGCGGCAGCGCGGCGGCAGCGCGGCCGCAGCGCGGCGCGGCCGGAGCGCGGCGGCGGCGCCACTGCTGCGTCCCGTCTGGATGGATCTGGTGTCAGATCAGCAGCAGGAGATGAATGGAACCAGGATCTAGTGAAGGTGCTGCCATCATCATCATCATCATCATCATCATCATCATCATCGCCTGACTTCTCCTGAGAGGTGAGAAGGTGTTACCATGGAAACCCTCAGATCGTTATCTGGACCGGACCTTGTGAGGACAGGAAGTGGACAGAAGGTTCTGATGGACCTCCGACTGCAGGTAAGACGGCAGAGGACAGCTGCTCTAAAGTGTCCAATCACAGCTCAGCAGGTGATTCTGCCTCCATCAGAACAGGCGGCCGGTCAGAACCACCAGAACCCGGTGTGGCTCCGAGTGGACCTGCTGTCTGAGCTCACTCCGCTCTTCTTCCCCTCCTCCTCAGGATGTCAGGAAACGTGTCATCTCTGGCTCCACCCACCAGTGCGTCTCCTCCACCTCCTCTCAACGTCTCCCAGTACCCTCCCCTCACCGACTGGGAGCCTCCAGTTTCACCCGAGCTGCTCAGTTCCGGGTCGGCGCCACCTCAGTGCTCTTCCTGTTTGCCGCCTGCAGCAACTTGGCGCTGCTGGCCAGCGTCTGGTGTGGCCGCGGCCGCCGGCTGTCGTCTCACCTGCGGCCGTTGATGCTGAGCCTGGCGGCGGCAGACCTGATGATGACGTTTGTGGTGATGCCTCTGGATGCGGCGTGGAACATCACGGTGCAGTGGTACGGCGGCGAGGCGCTCTGCAAACTGCTGTGCTTCCTGAAGCTGTTCGCCATGCACGCCGCCGCCTTCATCCTGGTCGTCATCAGCCTGGACCGCCATTACGCCATCCTGCACCCGCTGGACGCCCTGAGCGCACACCGCAGGAACCGCTGCATGCTGCTGCTGGCCTGGACTCTGAGCCTGCTGCTGGCCTCCCCACAGGTAGGTTCACCAGGTGGAAATCATCGTCCTGTTCAGGCACGATTCGCTTTAGTCTTAGGTTGCCGTCCACTCGTTTGTCTCACCTGGACAGGAAACTCATTCTCTGCCTGACTCTGGTCTTCCTGAATGGAAATCAGATTCCCTCCCCTGCTGTAGCGACTGAAGGTCAGGGATGCATCGCCATGCATTGTGTTTGCAGCATCACACCGTGCAGGTCAGCTAGATAAGAATAGTCCGGCAGAGTGAAGAGATGTAAAAACTAACAGCTTATCATGTCTAAGCAAATGGGAATCCCACGGCGTTCCCAGGGCAGCCGGGACCATCGTCCCTCCAGCAGGTTGCGGTCTTCCTGTCCCCTGTGGGACCTGAACTCCTCACAGGGAGCCTCCATCCCGACCAGGAGCCTGAGCCTCAGCTGGCTCCTCTCCAGGTGGAGGAGCGGCGGCTCCTCTCCTCTCCAGGTGGAGGAGCGGCGGCTCCTCTCCTCTCCAGGTGGAGGAGCGGCGGCTCCTCTCCTCTCCAGGTGGAGGAGCGGGGCTCCTCTCCTCTCCAGGTGGAGGAGCGGTGGCTCCTCTCTGAGCTTCTCTCTGAGGGAGAGCCCAGCCACCCGGTGGAGGAAACCCATCTGGGCCGCTTGTATCCATGACCTGGTTCTCTCTGCCGTGACCCAAAGCTCATGATGATGGTCGGAACGTAGATCGACTGATGAATCGAGAGCTTCGCTTTCTGGCTCGGCTCTCTTCACCAGGACGGACCGGTCCGGCGCCGGTCCGCCTGTCGGTCTCCCGCTTCCTCCTTCCCTCATTCATGGACCAGATCCTTGACCTCGTCCCCTTGGGGCAGGACACCGCCCTCCACCCCGTCCGGCTTAGGGTTTGGGGTTTTGATTATGGATCAGCAGACATTTCTGCCAAAGAAGGATGAAGTGAAGGACATAAACGGGTCAGTCAGCACATTCTCAGATATGGAGGCTGCAGGACACAGGAGATCTGACAGCTCGCAGATAAATGTGCTACATTTCAAGCATCCAGTGCTGATTGTGAAAGAGGATTTAGTTTAATGAATCATATCAGAGCATCATCCAGTGATGGTCTTGAAGTGGCAGGTTTGCAGCAGCTGATGCACATAAAGTCGCAGCAGGAAGCAGATGGAGCATCGACAGTTCAGCCACTGGAGAGAAAGAAAACTGTGGAATTCAATATTTCACAAGATCTAATGCTGCAGCACTTATTTCATTGTGCAAATTGTGAATGTTTTACTGTGAACCAAAAGTTACGTCTGAAAGGTGCAACGTCTCATTTCTCACCTGGCTGAAGCAGAACATGAACAGAAATGTTTTTGTTTCCTCATTTTAAGTCCAAATCGCTGAGACTAGAAACAAACTCAAGGAAACTGCTGCTGTCATTGGATTGGTCTGATAAGCTTTGATCAGATTAGAACAGGTGTGTGGCCGCAGCGCCATCATGTGATGCTGCTCTCACTGGTCCTGTGTGTTTGCAGAAACGTTTTTTTTTTCTCCAAAGAGTTTTTGTGGCACAAATGGCTCGCATTTTTGACAGTAGACTGACAGTAAAGAGGGCAAGGAGAGGGGGCAAAGGTCGCCGGGCCCGGGAGTCGAACCTGCGACGTCCGCGTCGAGTGTGCTAACCCTTGCGCCATCACAGCACGCTGTACATGAATATATAATGAGCGGGTCACATGACCGCGTTTCCTGCAGTGAGAAAACGAGCTGCAAGAAACCATGCGACGGAAAATCCCTGCTGGAATGTTCAGAGGATTAGAGAAACACGCTGCTGGTTCCTGGCAGGAAACGCTGAGCCAGCTCTTTGTGCTGCAGCTCTTTCTCACTCTGTTTGTGCTGCAGCTCTTCCTCTTCAGAACCATCCGTCTGGATGCCGCTGACTTCACGCAGTGCGCGTCCCACGGCAGCTTCGCTGGCCGCTGGCAGGAGACGCTCTACAACATGTTCCACTTCGTCACGCTGTACGTCGTCCCGCTGCTGCTGATGAGCTGCTGCTACAGCCGCATCCTGCTGCACATCAACCGGCAGCACCTGCAGCACAAAGGTACACCACCTGGTCCATACACCTGCAGCGCCACTATCACTCTGAGTCACACCTGGGATGTGACGCACCTGTAGCTCACCTGTAGTTGCGTTGCTGTTATGCTGAGAAATGCGTCCCCTGTAGCTCCGCCGCATCGCTCTAAACTCTCGCATATGATGAGAAAACGGGCTGAAATCCGACCGAAGAGGAAACTTTTATAGATATTCGTAACATTATCACGTTTATTAATCATGTAAGCCCTAAATGGTGGGTTTTATTTAGCAAATTAATTGAAATAAACACAGATTTTTTCATGTTTATTGAGACATATTTTCAGTGTCTGATGAACAAGTTCTCCGCAGCTGCTTTGAAATTCCAAGATTTTCTTTTAACACCATAATAGCTTAAAACTTTACAAACCGAGGCCCAGTTACGTAGAACATTTTAAGTCACGCTTAGCTGTCTAGTGTATTAGTGTAGGGGAGACGCGTTTTAATTTCTGAGCCTGCTAATATTTGCATCCTCTGTCTATTGTCCTGTTCATATGAAACTTATAGTGGGAACTTAGGGAACAAGTGTCATTATGTAGAAAATGTCATTTCCAAGTTAGCAGGTTGTGCATTTTTTGGCAATATGGATTTCTAGCGTGCCAAGATTTGCATCCCCTCTATTTTCATCAAATATGATCAAATTGATATAAAACTCATACCAGCAGTTCTTACAACTACTTTGGTTATGCAGAAAAATGTAATTCATATTAACTGTTTATTTGTGCAAGTTAGCAGAGGATGCATATTTTGCCATAGCAAATTATGAGCTGCTGATATCTGCATGCCCTGTTTTTATTTGATCTTATGAATTAATTATATCACAACAAAGGGTCAGACAGCAATAAGTGGTTCCACAATCACAGTCAAGAAACCCCAGCAGACACAGACTGATGGCTGTGAACTACTTAAGAGTTGGATTTGAGTAAAGTGGGTTTTTAATGTCTGTCCTTTGGCTCCACCTCATGATGATGGAGGCCCCTCCATCATCCGCCTGCTGTCTGGTGCTTCATGCCCAGGGAAGGGCCACCCAAGGCAGACAGCACCAGACAAAGTGCAGCCTGAAGACTCCAATGATGAAGAAAACCTTTCGATTTCGTGTTTCCCCGCCCGGATGCGGGTCACTGGGGCGCCACTCTGAAGTCTGGGCCTCCCTTCTTGGGCTGCTAACCCTGTGACCTGATCCCCGATAAGCGGAAGAGGATGGACGAGTTCTTATTGAATATTTCTTACTGTGTTGTGAAGTAATGCATGTCTAAGACCAAATAGTCGTCTTAGAGGTGAGGAAGGTCAAGCAGGGGCCTCCAAATGTTCCTTGCCAGAAAATGCATGTCCTGCAACTTGGAGAATTAGGATAGTAATGTGTTATATGAAATGTTCTAGACAATGACGCGTATGCTCTGAGCTACTAGAGTGACTTTCAAATCTGTGCGACACTTTTGAGCTGAAAAACAGGGCATGCAAACATCGGCAGCTCAAAATTCATTTTGCCAAAAAGTGCATCACCCCAAGCTTAAAAACACAAACAGTTACGAGTGAAATAGCTTTTTCTACATGATCACATTTGTTCCCTTAATTGCTGGTATGAGTTTCATATCAATAGGATAACATTTGAGGAAAATAGAGAGGGAAAGCATATTTTCATATTGCTGAACAGCTCCTCCCCCTGCCAGCAGGTGAGTCGCCCCTGCGGCGCAGCGGCACTGACGTCATCCCCAAGGCGCGGATGAAGACGCTGAAGATGACGGTGGTGATCGTGCTGTCCTTCGTCGTGTGCTGGACGCCGTACTACCTGCTGGGGATCTGGTACTGGTTCCAGCCCGGCATGCTGCGGGTCACACCTGAGTACGTCCACCACGCCCTGTTTGTGTTCGGGAACCTGAACTCCTGCTGCGACCCCGTCATCTACGGCTTCTACACGCCGTCGTTCCGCGCCGACCTGGCCGACCTGGCCGCCTTCTGCCGCCGCACGAGAAGCCGCGAGTCGCCGGACCGCCTGTCCGCCCGGCGGGGTCCGCACAGCGGCGAGGACGAGGCGGCGCCCCGCTGACCAATCACAGCCCAGAACGGAACCACGGGACGCGCTCTGCTTTTATTCCTTCGAGGTTTTGTTTGCTGAATCCGAATAAAATGTTTCTGTGATTCTGATTGGTCACAATATTGAACATTAATCCTGTGCTCTGATTGGCTGATAACCAATTTAGAACCTGACATGCAGTCCAGCAGCGCCACCTGCTGTCCGGGTAACTACGGAGCCCTGGAGGGGACATGGGACATTTCCTTTTGCGTTCTCTCGTAATAACATTTCTGCAATATTTGCTGGTCTGGTTTGAACACAGCCACAGTGTTTATGAACCGATTGGTGCAAAAACTGATAGAAGACCTGTCAGGTGATTTATTACCCGCAGTAATAATAGTCCAGATATAGTTTCTCTTCTTTCCTACTTATGGGAAGATATAAAACTTCACATATTTCATATTAACATCCATGGAAAAACCTGCTATTATAGCAGAAAGTATGATGAGAAAGGCTGACAGTATTCAGTCACATGAACTGATCAGAACGTCACTGCGAGGGAACGCAAAAGGAAAACGTCCCCGTGTCCCTTAAGGGGCTCCGTAATTAACAATAAACAATTCAATCGTGATTGATACTGAATAATATGTATTAAATATGCGTATGTACATAATGCCTGTACATGTTTTATTCATGTTCTAGGAGCTCCACACCTTCATCAGTGACTCGTCTCTCCCTCCTCTTCCTCACATCGTCTTTATGAAACATTAAAACTAAAACAATTACACATAAATAACAGTCTTTGCCACCTTGTGTGTGTAACCGGGTTCTGCTTCACACCACTGTACCAGGCCGACCCAAGTAACCCCTGGACTCTGCGTTGTGTAGATGTTTTAGTGAAGACCAGGAGTTCTGGGTGAACAGGCAGTTTATTTCCTGAATGAGAACAGATCGGGTTGGAATCAATGCAATGGTTCAGCTTCCCTCAGCACACTCTCGTGCAGCTTCCATAGACTGGCACTGATTACAGAGGCCAGCAACATATAACCAGCCACACAGAGAGGAGGCGCTATTTCCCATTGCACTGATAATATATAAAGCAAGTGGGATTCTACAACATAAACTCTGTTACATTCCCCCTGCTGAATTCCACTTGCAGCCCGAAATAAACAAATACAAATAAAAGAAACAACCCCATGAAAAAAAAAAAAATCAGATACACCCTAGCAACCAGAAGAGAAAAACAAGTCGAATGAACATTTTAGACAATTCCCCAATAGCATACGCACAGCCGTCGAGGTGTGATGAATCTGCTCAGTAAATTCCAGGCATTACAGTTACAAAGAAAATCCAGTCAGACGACTATTCTCAAAAGAACCAGTGTGAGAAGAAGTTGGCCAGACCCCTTCATCACACATATGGGAAGCAGAACAAAAACATGCCCATTACATATTTTGTCATATTATAACCATACGCCATCCTGAGACAGACAGATGAAAACAAAAGCACTTTGTTGGTTCTGAAACACCATTGTCCAATACAAGTACAATAAAACAACTATATCGTCACCCTAACAAGACTCAAACTTTTTCAGTTTTCTGATGCATTATCTCGATCAATCGAGAAACAGGCTTAAGTAACCTCCCCACCCTCGATCTTTTGGAAGTCTCCACCGCCCCGTCAACAACAGTACGGTCTTCAGCAGGAACAACAATTTCAGCTGAGACAGGAACTGCAACTAAAGGCAAACAGGCTGGATCATGTTCAGCAGTGGTTGCTGCCTCCAAAACAGAAGAGCATCTACCTGGATCCATGGACATGACCAGGTCAGATCGTTGCTCATCACTGGTTGAATTTTCTCGCACATCAGTGCCAATAGCGGGAGCACAGCCAGAGGCCAGTTGATGGCCCACATCAGTGCCTTCTGGGTCAATATCCTCAGTCAGCAGGGGCTCACTGGAGGCTACAGATGGCAAGTCAGAAACCCAAGCTCTTGTCCTGTATTCAGCAGATGTTACAGACATGTCAGACACAGCATCTCCATCGCCTTCAGCTATCAGCGAGCCAGATTCAGAAGACACATCCACCCCATCCTGCAGCGCCGCATCCTCGACAGGGAGAAAATTCACTGGCATTAACAGGTTACGATGGACAACCTTCACCTGCCCAGTGGAGACATCCTGCAGCTTAAAGGTGTGACTTGTGTCATTCTTGTCCACAACTGTATAGACTACATTCTCCCAGCGATCAGCCAGTTTTCTCTTGCCGCGTCCCTTTTGTTGGCAAGAAGAACACGGTCTCCAATCTCCACTGGAGCTCCCCGGACTTTACGGTTGTAGAGATCCGTGTGGCGCTGCAATTGTTTGCTCGCCGTCCTTTGTGCAATGTCCATTGCCTCCTTGAGGTCTTTCCTAAGCGCCTGGACATATCGGTCATAATCTGTGACGTCATGATGGTCAATGACAGAGCCGAAGACTATATCAATTGGGAGTCTCGGCACCCTGCCAAACATCAACAGAAATGGAGCAAAGCCGGTTGTTTCATGGATAGTGCAGTTGTATGCAAAGGTGAGGGCTTTCAGCACATCAGGCCATTTTTGCTTAGCTTTCGGGGGCAAGGCACGAATCATATTGCCCAAGGTCCGGTTCATCCTTTCACAAGAACCATTACCCATTGGGTGATATGGAGTCGTGTGGGACTTCTGGACACCAGCAACACTCAGTAGTTCAGAGATAAGTGCACTCTCGAAATTTGCTCCCTGATCAGAGTGTAAGCGTGCTGGAAAGCCATAAACGCAGAAATAGTTATGCCACAGTTGGTGCGCCACTGCCTTGGCAGACTGGTTGGGGCACAAGAAGGCATGCGCCATCTTTGTAAAATGGTCTGTGACCACAAGCACATCCACTGATTTGTTAGCAGAGTCCTCAGCTGACCAAAAGTCTATGCAGACCAGTTCAAGGGGCTCTGATGTCTTGATGTTCTCTAAAGGTGCTCTAGCCTCTGGCTCAGGGGACTTGCTAACAATGCATCGCTTGCAGCACCGCACATACTCTGCCACATGTTTAGCCATGCCAGACCAGTGAAATCTTTGCCTAGCCAGATAAAGGGTTCGTTGCTGGCCTTGGTGACCTGCCTCATCATGGACTCCCTTCAGTACAGCAGGACGCAGGGCAGGTGGGACAACATACAGGTAGGTTTTTGTCTTTGTTACAGGATTCTTGGCGACTCGATACAATACACCGTTTTTCACAGTCAGCTTGTGCCATACCTTCAGAAGTCTGTTTGTTTCAGTCGCTTCTTTGGCACGCTCTCTCCTTGATGGTCTTCGCCCCCTTCCCACATAAAAGATTGCTCTACACAGTGCATCATCACACCGCTGCTGCCTCACCAGCTCCTCATGCGATAAGATGTCAGAATCAATATGGTTTGATGTGAGCAAAGTCTGTGATAACTGAGGCAGAAGAAGAGCGTGTGGCCACACCTTGGACTCATGTTCTTTATGAACCTGAAGGACAGCTCCCACCTCAGAAGAGGTCAGCCCTCCTGCCTGTGCAACAACTGTGGACTGACAAACAATAGGTTGGTCATCACCTGAGAACTCTTCAGGTGAATGAACTGTCCATCTGAAGGCCTCCTGCACCCCCCTGTGGCAACTGCCTCTGCTTCAGCCAGCAGATCATTGTATGGGACTCTTATTAAACGATGGGAGGCAGTGGGCTGCACAAAGGGTTCCCTGCTCAGCGCATCAGCAACTATATTTTTAGGACCAGGGATGTATTTTATATCAAACTGGAAAGGTGCCAGTTTCGCAATCCACCTTTGCTCGCATGCATCCAATCTTGGCTTAGACAGTATGTAAGTCAAAGGGTTATTATCGGTCCATACTGTAAACTGATGACCCCTCAGCCAATGATGAAACTTATCGCACACTGCCCACTTCAAGGCAAAGAACTCCAACCTATGTGCTGGATACTTGGACTGTGCGTGACTAAGTGTCTTACTAGCAAAGGCGATTGGCCTTGATGTTGAAGCTCCAGCCGGAACTTGTGACAACACAGCACCAAGGCCACCGCTGGGAGGCATCAACTGATAGAAGGAAGGGCTCCTCAAAGTTCGGATGAGCCAGGAGCACTCGATCCAACAAAGCCTGCTTCAACTTGAAGAACGCCGTCCTGCAGTCATCTGTCCAATCCTCCTCACGCAGCCTTGCACGGCCTGTCGGCGCTTTCTCCCTGGACCACGTGGGCCTTTTCCCCAGATGTCAGCCGGAACAGAGGTTTTGCAATGGATGAACAGTTCTCAATAAATTGTTGGTAATACATGACCATTCCAGGAACGAGCGGATCCTCTGCTGAGATGGAACCTTAGAACCATCTTCCATGAGGTTTGCTTCCGTAAGGGATGTAATGGAAGCTATTTTCTCCGGATCTGACTGAATCCCATCAGCACTAACAATGTGTCCAAGGAATTTCACAGTCTGCCTCAAGAAGTGGCATTTCTTTGGAGCCAACTTACGATTGTGAGCCTGCAGCCTCTGGAACACCATATGCAAACGCTGCAGTGCCACTTCTTCAGTGGGGGCAAAAACCAGGACATCATCAAGATAACACAGCACACTGAGGAAGTTCTGATCTCCAAAAATGCCCAACATCATCCTCATAAAAGTCGCCGGACTGTTGCATAGTCCCTGAGGCATACGATTGTACTCATATAACCCAAAAGGTGATGTGAAAGCTGTGTACTTGCGGTCCTGTTCATGCACCTCCACATTATAGTAGCCTGAAGTCAGGTCCATTGTAGAGAAAAATCCATTCCCTCCTAAAGCAGCCAGTGCATCTGCTGGATGTGGAAGGGGATGGGCATCTTTGACAGTTCTAGCGTTGAGCCAGCGAAAGTCGTTACATATCCTTAAATCACCAGACTTCTTCCAAACTAGGACCAAAGGTGATGCAAATTCACTGCATGACTTTCGAATTATTTCCCGTTCCTCCATTTCATTCAGAGCTTGTCTCAATTTGTCATAATGACTTGGTGGCACACGTCGGCAAGGCAACCGGAAGGGCTTGTCATCCACCACTCGAATCCTATGAAGGTACCCTGTGGCTTTTCCGCAATCTAGCTTGTCTCTCGAGAAAATGGACTCAAACTGGGCTATGAGGTCAACTAGTTTCTCTTTGCTAGCTTGTGATACTTCACAGGAGTTGATATCAATGTCAGACAGTCCCAGATTTTGCAGCACAGTATGTACAGAGCTACTATCACCTATTCCTCGCTCTGAAGTTGGACGATCAGGTAAGGTAGAGACGTCAGTGACGAGACTCTGCTCATCGTTGCACCTTACTGAGTCAGTAGTTGGCAGTTGTACATTCTGTTGTAAGCAGGAATCAGTGGGGCTGAAGCTCGTCACTGCTGAGCAGGTGAACACATCAGCTAACCTCATGTTTCGTTTTAAAGTCATTGGTTTGTCACAGGGATTTAACACTTTTACAGGGAGCCACCCATCACTTCCAAGATGTGCCACAGTTCTTCCGACCATAACTGACCTTGGCCTTGACCTTGTTGCTGTGGGTTCTATCACAACAGCACTGCCCACCTCCTCATTATCTCCTAGCTGCAGCCTGCCCCAGACCAGGTGCTCTGTCAAAGGTTCCAAGGTTATGGCTCTCTTTATCTTGACATTCCAATCTTATCATTGACACTCTCTGGAACCACCACTCCTGACATTAAACTTAGCACATTGTGCTCAGACACATCCTCTGTAGTCAAGACCTTGCTGCATCCCACCCCCAACTTGTCCTTCGTCTTCAGGCAACTGACCAAATGCCTCATAAGGTTGCTGCCTATGATGAGATCCTCGCTTTGTCCTGCAACCACCAGCATAGGCACAACAACTTTGCAGCCATACATTTCCACTGTAATGTCACACACACCTGATGGAATTGTCCTTGAACCACCACAACCAATCAGTACAACATCAGTGGGTTGCAAGGTGGGATCTGCAACACTGCATGATCTAAGAGGTGGGGCATCAGATCAGTACTGAGGGTGCAGGCCATGGAGCCACTATCAAGCATTGCTTTGACAG